CCTGCTGCTCTGGTTATGCCACAGCAGGAAACAGCAGCACAGTTCACTGACTTCTATTGTGGCCTCTGCCAAAACTCATTCTGACATTCCTGAGGCTATCCGCCAAACTGCATGCAGTGATGGAGAGATACTTAGGTGCACTGAAGACTTTCAGAGGATTTTGCAAAAGCAGCTTTGGAGGTTGTGCTGATCCACAGGGGACTGTGGCATGGGGAGCAAGGGAGATTAAGCCCTTCCTCAGTGCAATTTTCATAATGGAAATAGTCACCCTAAAGCTATTTGGTTTGTTAGGGAAAACCTGCTTGAATTGCTCATGGCTTCCCATCCTGGACAAACAACTTCAGAGGGCTGATTTTCATTGGAACAAGGTTAACCTCCAGTCCTAGTGCAACCATGTAACCTACTGCTTGGTCACGATGTTTTCCCCTAATGTGAGAGAGATGTACCATATTTTGATTTACACTTTCAAATTTGTGAATCTATACATATAATTACCATATGCACATTTAATGCAAATCTGTGGCCTCTTCTTAAATGGTAATGTTTTTGTTTTTATCATGGTTTTATTGCTTTGTGTTGTTTTTGTGTTTTTAAATCGTGCATAGTGCCTTTTAATGCCTTAAAAGTGGCTTATATACTAAAAAAGCAAGCTAGCAATTTAGTAATTTAGTGGCTATAGTCTGGGCCACGTAGCTCCCAAATTATTTAGGAACTGGTTGGGACTTGAGTCCTGTTAAACTGGAAAAGATTTATCATCCAGTAAATGTGCACAGGATCACTATCTTAGTGCGATGTCCAAACCCCAAGCAGCAAACTCCATGGCTACCTCAATCTTCTATTATCCATTCCACCAGCCATTTCTAGCTTTGACACTTGAGGATGTGGACACAGGTCTTATTGTTGTTAGTCGCAGAGTTGTGTCTGTTCCATCACTACCCCACGGACAACATTCCTCCAGGCGTTCCTGTCCTCCACCATCCCCCGGAGTCCACCTAAGCTCACACCAACTGCTTCAGTGACTCCATCCAGCCACCTCATCCTCTGCTGTCCCCTTCTTTTGCCATCTATTGTTCCCAGCATTAGGCTCTTCTCCAGTGAGTCCTTCCTTCTCATTAGGTGGCCAAAGTATTTGAGTTTCATCTTCAGTATCTGGCCTTCTAAAGAGCAGTCAGGGTTGATCTCCTCTAGGACTGACTGGTTTGATCACCTTGTGGTCCAAGGGACTTGAAGGAGTCTCCTCCAGCACCACAATTCAAAGGCCTCAATTCTTCAGCGCTCAGCCTTCCTTATGGTCCAACTTTCACAGCCATACATTGCAACTGGGAAAACCATAGCCTTGACTATACGCACCTTCCTATATTTCCTCTTGCCTTTTGCAGCTGATAACCTCCAACTGAGCATGACTGATTCCATTGATCAGAAAATGGGTGGATTCTCTGTGTAGGGTTGCAGGGCAAGCAGCAGCTCTTGAGAGCTCCACTGGCTCTGCTCTCTGAAGCACCTGCCAACCCAAAGCTTCCACAGATGGGCTTCCTGACAGTGAGGGGAGAACTCTCCATTTGCTGCTTTCCCTACTACACAACCTAAGCATAGCATTCCTCAAGTCACCTTGCCTCATGGGAGGACTGGCTCTGCTCCACAGGCCAGATGGTCACATCTCTGGGCCAGATTCCTCACTGGCTGGGGCAGTGCTTTTCCAACTTGGTGCCCTCAAGATGTTCTGGACTTTAAACAATGGTGCTGGAAGAAGGTTGCTCATCTTCACAGGGACTCGTCTGTGCAGTGCCACAGTGTTCCATCCGGTCTTTCATACTGCTTAACATTGGTTGGTTAATTTATTGTTAATTTTGCAACTATCCTCCCTGTCCCAATAGTCATAGTCAGAGTCTGTTTTATCAAGAACTAGAGTTATGATTGCTTTTGTAATATTTACATTTATTTGATGTATGCCCTACCCTTGGGACATGTTAATTGCTCAAGTCAGGACCTCAGAGCCAGGGTATTGTTCCGCAAATGTACCATTGTATATAGCATTGCGTCAATTGCCAGCATAGCAGCTGCTGTATTGAGCAACTTACTACAGGAACACAGATTGCGCGGGCACATAAACCCATCATTTGATGTTCAAATTACAAGTACAAAACTATTTTCAGGAGCGAGGGCACTTGCCTAAAAAGACACTTGCATACTGTGAACTGGGTAAATTCACATTGTGAGCACAATTCTTGGCGATAAGTCTCACTGAAATCAGTAGAACTTACTCCCATATAAGTAAGGCGCCAAAGCTTCTTTCCTTTCGGCATCGGGTGAAACCCTTTTTATTCTCCCAGTATTTTAATTGTTAATTAATTAATTGTTAACTTGTTTTAGTTAGTGGGTTTCTATTTTAAAATTAGATGCTGGGCAACTGTTGTTCTTATTTCTATTTTTAGGATTAATTTGTTGCAAACCATCCCAAGACATCCAAGTATGGGACAGTACAGAAAAGTGTTGAATACTAAATAAATAAATAAATCAGAACACGAACATAGTCTTAGCTTTAAGTTCAATTCAGATAAGCCTGAGATGCTAACATTGGAATAGACTTGCTTGCACTGGATAGGCTCATACTTCTTTTAGATTTAGGATGCTTGTGGACATGCTAGTGGAGCTCCAGTTCCCTTCTCCTGTATGTCATCATGCAGTGTGTATGGAACGGAACACGTGATTATCAAGCACTTGCGTTGTCCATTTATTGTATTGTTCATTTGTTATTCATGTATTGTTCATGAAATGTTTTGCATGTATACTTTAAAATCAATGTATACATCTGTAAATTGACAAGTGAGAGTGAATGGAATGCCTAAATTCTCTGTGCTGCTCTCCATTTCACTGGACCATGATGTCACCATCCTTCTTTCCCCCACTCCCTTTTGCCACATCCTGCTTCTTCCTTAGCTCAGGCTGACCAAACTATAGGATCTTGCAGTGGTAAAACCTTTTGAATTCTCAGCCACAATAAATCTGACACTCTCCTCCCATAGTATGCTGTTTGCCAAATCAGACACTGTAAGCATGGCTGTTAGAATGCTGGGTCTATTTCAAAAAGGACATTTCACCCATTTTCACATAAAATGAACTCATTCCCCACCCCTACCAAACAAGGTTTCGATTCTCCTAATTGTTCACATGGCTTGAACCCAATCTTGTATACGCTCATACAAAAGTAAGTCCCACTGAGTCCAGTGCCATGCCTGGATACATTGAAATTGGATTGCAGCCTCTATGGGTTGATTGAATTCCAGAAAGGGTACAAGCAGCTCATTTTTTATGGTTTCTCAGTATAGACATATATACTTCATCGTCTCTTTATTATCTCTGGAGGTTCTGGGCAAAACAATTCATGAAAAATTGGCAGAAAAGGTAAGGCAAGAAGTGTACTATTGCAGCCTTTAAGTGGCTCTCGCATGTCTAAATGGGCTGCCATTCTGAAATCACTGTACCTCAAAAACTAGCAAGGTCAGAGCCAAATCTTCAGACATAGGCTCACCATTTCGGAACCAGGCCAAATGGGATCTGGAGAAGGATGAATATGCAATTACAGCAAATGCACATTTACATCTGAGGCAGGGGCAAGTTGCGACAATGGCAAGGAATGTCCATCTTATAAAAGCAGTAGCTAACAACCAAAGTATGAGAAGAGGACATTTCTGTCCTGGAATACTGTGTTCATTTTGGGGCATCCAGGTTTTTTAAAAATGCAGGAAAAACTAGAAAGGGTTCAGAGGAGGGCAACAAAGCTGGTCCAGGGTCTGAAAATTAAGCCCTACATGAAAGAGATCTGGGCATGTTCAGCCTCGAGAAGACTATAAGAGAATATGATGGCATTCTACAAGTATCTCAAAGGCTGTCACAAAGAGGAAGGAAAAAGATATCACTCATCCTTGAGTGTAGGACACGAAACAACAAACTTAAACTACAGAATACCCGATTCAGGCTAGACACCAGGAAAACCTTAACTGTCAGAGCAATAGGACAGTGAAACCAGTTGCCAAGAGAAGCCGTGGCCTTTCCCACACAAGAGACAGTCATCTGAATGGGATGGTGTGACTTGGCGTCCTGTAGCAGCAGGGGTGTGGACCCGATGGCCTTGTCTCCTTCTGCCCCTACTGTTCTTTGAATCTATGAAAAAAGAGACATGCATGATCCCAGGAACTACAAGAAGATAATCTGTCCTCCTTGAGTTTATGCTTAATGCTTAACAATTATTATACAGATTAATTTAAGGTTCAATAAAACATGGTTTATGAAATCTTGCTTGTTAAGGAGATTGGGGATACATAGCAACCTTAAGCACAGCCTAAATTCCCATCGAACCCAATGGAAGTTCGAATAAGCATATAAAGGATCAGGCTGCTTCTGACTTAACAAAAAAAATCCTTAATTTGTACTCTTATTATCCCAACTCCTTCCCATTCCATAGATGCCACTCTGATTCCTTTGTACACGAACCACATGTAGGAAACTTGCTTCGTGTCCTCCAAACGTGCCTATCACGTCTCCCATCAGCACTGCCTAGCGAACTTCTCACCCTATAGCATATTTGCACGGGCGAGGTTCCATCTATGAGGTGGAAGGAAGGAATAAGGAGAGAGCTTGCACTCGAGCTTGTCCAATTTCTTACCTTCGTGATCCGATTGGCAGCTCTTTTTTCAATAGTTTTATTCTCACCCTACCAAAAGGCAGTTTTAACCAATCAGTCGGCGAGAAAAACCCTAGACTCACGCGGCCCGCCCCTTCCATTTCGTCTTCTTTTTTTTTCTTTTGGGCAGCCAATGAAAAAGAAAGGCAGAGAGGAGGCGGGGAAGGTCATGAGTCCAATCAAGAATCGATGCGGGCCTTGCGCGCGCGGGAATTGGTCGAGACGCGCAGGCAGTGGGGCGGGGTTAGAATGGAGGTAGCTGAGGTGCCGGAGCGAGCGGGTGGTGGTGGGGGGTGAGCAAGCAAGAGAGCGAGTGTGGCCCGGTGTAGGAGGAGGTGACCGTAGTAGCTGCAGTGGCGGCGCCTTGGGCGGGCCTCAATGGAGCTCGAGAATATCGTGGCCAACACTGTGCTGCTCAAGGCGCGCGAGGGTGAGAAGCTGGCCGGTGGCGGCTCTGGGAGGTGGTGGAGGAGCTTGCTGAGTTACGAAAGGCAGGTCGGGTGAGAGCAGGAAGGAGCCCCGTTAGCCTCCGCGCTGTTGGCTACTCTCCGCTTGGCCGAGGGCTACGTCTCTCCTCGCTCCGCCAGGAGTTAGTGCTCCCTTTCCAATGAACTGCAAGGGAAGAGCAGTGGCGACTGGTTTAGCTGTGCCCTGTCTGGGGAAGTGGGCGAGATAGAGGGAGGGCTGTACAAGGCGGGGGCATAAGCCCAGAGTGAGTTGGGAGCCCGGCGTGAGTGTCTGCCTGTGTGAGCAGGCGGATATCGGGTACGGCGGTAGGGGCGCCGCTTGTGTGGTCAAGCCAGGAACGTGCTGTGGGTGGGAGATGAAGAGGGAGGTCGTGGTGACCCATCTAGCAGGCTTGTCGCCCTTCGCCCCCGGCCAGCCCTGAGGGTATTGAAAGTGTAACATTGTGGAGCTTCTGAATCACAAACCGGCAAACACACGGGAACGGGTGCTAAGAGGCCTGGTAAAGGAGCTGTCCACGAAATGGCCCGGCGAGCCCAGAAATAGAGCGAAGTGACTTGTGTCACCGGGGGCACAACATTGACTGCTGGACGCAGACACAGTTGCCTTGATCTGGCAGTAGTGTGGCTTTTTCTTGATTAAAGCCTTTGCACCCTTCTTAGACTCCAGTGCTCATTTGGAAATCTGGGAAAGCTAGCATTCTTCAAAAAGAACATTCTAATTTTTAACCCCAAATTAAAAATGTGGTCTAACTTCATCTCTAGGCTGAGAGGAATTAGGAAATGGCAACAGAACTGGATCCTGGATCCTAGAAGTAGCAGGAGAAGCTTATTGTGCACCGTCCAACTTGACTCTAGGTGGAGCACCAGAAGTTAGTTTATATTGTAGTGCATCTGATGTGTGTTTTCCCATAGGAACAATGTTAGGATCATAGGAGGCAGCCATCTACTGAATCTATTGGTCCATCTAGCCTAGTATTTCAGTATTGTGTTGCAGCAGCTCTTCAGGGTCTCAAGCAGGGTTCCTTCCTAGCCCTGTCTGGAGGTGCCAGCGATTGAACCTGGGTCTCTTGCATGCAAAACAGGTGCTCTACCACTGAGCCATGGCCTCTGCATGTTCTCCTGCCATGCAGTAACAGAGAAGTTGTAGAATTGGCTTTTGACCCAGCTTGTGTGCATCTGATTCCATAATGGGTTGCTGGGTCAGACACAGTAGGGCTGGCTGGCAGCTGAAAGGTCCTAGAATCATTTTTTTGTCCCTCAACCTACAGTGCTGTGGATGGAGCCTTCTACTACCATGTATGCTTTAATTAATTAATTTATCAATCAATCAATCTTATATGTCACTTTAATTAGTTCAAAGGCCTCTCTAAGCAGATATTGGCTTATATTTGTTGAATGTCTGCAAACAGTGGGTTTTCTGGTAGAAATGTGTGTAAAATAAGAGCCCCTCATGTTACCTTTCTTTACTCATCTGTATATGGAGAGGAAAAGAAAAGGGGGAAAAATGAAGCAGTGTTTTTCATCACTGCTCATTGCACTGTTTTCCAGTTTTTGATGCCATCTTGGGGAATATGTGCAGGTTAATGTCACCCATCATCTCCAAATAGATTTTTTTACTCTTATTTTCACTCTGTTAGAAGAGCTGCAGATTTACTCAAATAGCAGAGCAATCCTATGCATTTTCAACACATGGATGCCCTACAACCACCAGTATTCCTCTGCAACATGACTATTTCTGTCTAAACATGCATAGCATTGTGCTCTAAGACATCTCATAGTCAATACCACTTAAAGACTGGACACTTGCCATTGTAAATCTGCCATTTTCTTTGTGAGCTCTGAGAAAGTTTGTCCTCTGTAAAGGGGCTTGTATAGTTTTATGTATAGTTGCATAGACATCTGTGCAGATCTGTCTTTTGTAAAAACAAAAAAAGTTGCTGCTAGTCTTGAAGAAGACAAGGGACTATGCAGTGCACTGAAGCCACATCACCCAGGGTCATGGAAGCTTCGGCCCTTTCTGGTTTAGTTCCTGTGATTTCAGTAGGCATTGATCACATGTAAATCAAACCTTACAGGTATCAGGGTGCTGAATTCTGAACCCAGTACAACATTCGATATAGCAAGATAGCAGAAGAGCAGAATGCAGGTAGCCCTGGACATTGGATTAGTTTCTACTGGGGCAATGACTTTGCATTAATGGCTTTGCATGAAATATTTACTTTCTGATGCTATTGCTGATTGAAAGGACTTGCCTTTCTGTCTGTGAGTTTGCATGTATGTAGGTGGCATAGCATGAAGGTAGGGTGAGGTGGCAGAGGTTTTAATTCTGATACAGTTGTCTAGTGTGTTCTGGCATCCCAGTTTAAGGAAAGGATACACAGACAAATGTGTTTTCAAACAAACCATCACCCTGTTTTCTAAGGCATTTTTTCAATGTATGGAATGATGAAATTATCCAAACTTTAGTAACAGTCCCATTCTCTGCATCTTTACTAAGTGCCATTGTGTCCTGTGGGGCTTACTTTCAGGTAGGTGTGCACAAAATTGTAGTTTAACAATGTAATCCTAGGCATGTCTGCTTAGAACTGAGTCCCATCAAGTTCAATAGGGCTTATAACTAGGTAACTGTGTATGGGGTTGCTGCCTAAAAGCATCATCCTATGCATAATTTGAGAGGAAAAAGGGCCTGCAGCTTCCAGCATGTTTCAGCCAGCATAGCTGACTGGGGCATGCTGGGAGTTGTAGGGCTTCGTTCTGTCTAAACTTGCATAGGATTGCACCTTAAGTGTCTTAAATTCAGAAGTTTTTTATGGAGGAAGTGGCCCAAGCATGAAAGAACTATGACATAATGTCAACCAAAGGAGAGGTTTTAAGAGCTTTCTGTACCGTCTGGCTAATTGACAAGGAACTTGGGTTTCTTTCATCCAGAGAAACAGGTGTTTCTTGATCATACAGTAGCTACTTTGATGGACAGAAGCTGTTTAAAACTTAGGATTTCCAGTAAGTATCCTTGTAAAAGGCCTTGTAAAATATTTAAAATCTAGAATTAGCAGGAACCAATATTCAAGAACTTAACTCACCATGCTGAGCATTGCTATGGGTTAAAAACATATGATTCACGGAAAGCAAAGGGTAAGAACACACTAATGTGGTGAAAGATTTGTGGTTCTTTATTCAAGATCAGGCCTGTGGTATTTGATAAATGAGTGGGTAATGCAGTAAAAATGTGAACAGTTCAAAGGTATCTAAAGCAATTGAGATGGGATGAGAGAACCTCTTAACCATTGGGGAATGGCTTTCTTGATAAGAGATGGAAGTGGAATTCAGAATTGATAAATATAGGGCTGTTATAAAGAGGAAAGAGTTATTTTAAGCTATCTTTGCAATGGTGGCTTTGAAATTTCTTGCCATAAAGAACTGAGTTTTTTTTTTTTTTTTAGAGTAGTTGCCAAGCCATTAGATCCTAAAACTTTTCCAGAAGGAGTTTAGGATTCCTTTATTTAATCAATCATGGTCCAAAATTCCAAATAGAACTGGGTGTAATTTATACTCTACCCGTTAAATGTTCTACATTAGACAGCTCAACATAAGATGTGGCTGACTAGACATCAGTGTGCTCCACATAGGCTCTTGCCAAGATCCAGGTAACTATAGAGGACTGCAGCCTTAAATATTTATTTATTTATTTTTCGATTTACATCCTGCCTTTTTCCTCAAAGGACTCAAGGCAGCTTACATCATTCTCCTCCTCCATCTTATCCCCACAACAACAACCCTGTGAGGTAGGTTGGGCTGAAAGTCTGTGACTGGCCCAAAGTCACCCAGTTGGCTCCATATGTTTCTGCTCCTCTTAAACATGTCGTGGCAGTGAGTCTCCAAGGTATGCGTCATAAGCTCTTATTTTTACAATTCTAAGCCCATCTCATGAGGGGCAAGCTTGCTCATAATTATGAATGTATGGGGCAAAACAGACTTTCTTGCCATCACCTCAGATGGCTGGAAATCTCATGTAAAACCTTTAGCACTTTTTCTGCTTTCTAGCCCATCAGGAACTATCCCTGGAGGTACAGACTTGGAGAGCTAATATCAGGAAGAAGACCCATTTAATTTTAAAATAACCACATCACATTAACTTTCCATGTATAGGTTGTTGGACTGCCTTGTATGCATAACTACTACTTGTATGCAGTAGCATTCTAGAGTAAGTGCTTTCTGTCCAGCAGCTAACACTGAGATCTGCCATTTGCATGCATTTTTATGCACTGATTGTAATTGAGCTTAAATAGTTATGTGGATAAGGTGGAGCCCTTGAGCCCAACATAAATTTCCAAGGTGGCCTCTTAGAAGCACTTCGAATATGACAAATTTCCTATATAGGTATAATTTCTATAAAAGGGGTATGTACCTGTGAAAGCTGCTTATATGGCTGTCATGTTTAATGAAAGCACAGAAATATTTCAGTATGGTCACTAATCACCCCCACCCCAGAACTGGCAACATAGAGTGACATACAAGTCTAAAGCATAATGTATTATCTTTTTTTTAAAGCTCAGTTTCTCAGCACACTGCATGTTGTATAGAATGAAGCTCATTTTCATACTGCACTTGTAAAAGGTATTGGTCTTGATTTTATTGGGGTGGGGAAATGTAAGACAAGCTCTTCCCCCACCCTTTCCCTTTTAAAGTGCTTCTGCTTTCCTACTTGTGTTCAGCAGAGATAAGGTTGCAAGGAATGGCTTAGCTGCATTGTCCATCTGTCTTGCTCTTTGTGATTCTCTTTTGGAGGAAGAGAAAGCAAACAATTGCTCTGACCTTGGTGAGGAGTGAAGCCTGGTAGATTCCCATCACTGAAATCTCTTTAGAGCAGGGATCTCAGACCATGGCCGCCTCCTCCACCAATGGTCTCCTCCCTTCATGTAGTTGTAGCTGAGAGTATTGTGCAGCCAGCTGCCCACTGCCTTGATTCACTTCCTTCCTAGATTTGTACAGTTCAGTACAACTGTTGGCCTGCTTAGGCAATGCCTGTTCTCTAATGAGAAAAAAGTAAAATACGCCATAGGCAAAAGCTTGTTGTGCACCTTCTTCATCTGTTCTTTCTCTCTCTGACCTGTGGTCAAGTTGCCTGTTTAAAATATTTTACTGTAAAAATTCTCACAAGCCATTGTGCTTCCAGTCTTCAATAGGTAGGGAGCACTTGGGCTCTTATTTCTCATATTATAATCCTACTCATCCTGCAGTGTCTCTGAAAAATGGTTTTCTAGAAATGCTGCATTCCTTCCATTCAGTTAGTCCCCAATGATTGTAATGGAACTGGGTGGAATCCTAGGTGTGTAGAAAGTTGATTTTCTGTACATACCTTGAAAAAAGCGGCCACTTTCCAGTGACCCACCAAAGAGACTTCATTCTGTACAAAACCAAGCAGACAACTCTGTTGCCACCTTCTCTGCTGCTTGCTCCCCACCTGTCCTGCCAACTCATTTGAATAGCCTGTTATGAAGGGTTTTGCAGGAAGTTTGCCTGGCAAAGTACAGTTTAACCACACCAGTTCTTTGTTACAGACTGAGTTATTTTAGATATCTTGTGCTGCTGACATCTCTTCCTTAAGAATAGATTGGTAAACTTCACTCCTGCTTACATTTGAAAAGTAAGTGTGGCAGGAAGAATGGGCTGTTGGGATTAGATGTGGAAATCCAGGTTTTAATCCCTATTCAGCCATGAAACTTGTTGGGTGGTCTTGCTTGTCACTGTTTCTTGGCCTCTACCCTGTTTGCTGTGAAGATTCTAAGACTTCAGTGGCTCTGTTCCCTTTTCATTTTGTGGAAAAGGAATGTATGTTTTCCCAAAATGGGTCTGAGTAGGCTGGTACAGTCTGGAAGGTTTTACTCAGGGAAGTAAAAAAGCCCCGTAATGTGACTGGTTTTGGGTGGGAAGGAGGTGTCTGCTCTGAAGATTTTTCTCCTGACCTAGTGTAGGGAGTGGGTTGTATGTATAGAACTTGCAGTATCTTAAATGTTTTACTCTCGCTGCTCATAATGGTGCCTGAGGGTAGGCTGGAAGGACTGGACTGTTAAGCCCAAGATTCCTATTAGTCTTGCAAACTCTGCAATGCTATTTGCCTTTTACTTTCAAAATGCAAATTTACCATTCTTCCAGCTTCTGGAGGGAATAAGTCAAGCAATATTCGTATTTAGTTTAGCAGATTGAAGTGATTAACCTATGGCTGTTCTACAAAAGTCCTACAAAACAAGAGCTTAGGAATGGCTGCCTTGTAGCATTTATTCTTCTAGAGCAAGTTCATTCTCTTAATGTATACACAGATTTGGCATTAAGTGACCAGACTGTAATGCATACTTGTAATTGTGATATGGAAGAAAATCCTGAAGATTGTATTTCAGTGCACTGTGTATTTAGCCAGTGAAGGTTAGTTACAGGGAAACAGTCCATGACCTTAAGCAAGCTCTTCACTTTCATTCTGAACTTTACTTTCCTCTCCTGTGACTGCTGGTCCTTTCTTTTGAAACACAGATGCAGATAATGTTTGGGAAAGGCTTGCAAAAAGATCTGGGCAATTATTTCCTAGACATCCTTAAACTGAGTTCTGATGGAGGACAAAAATAAGAATTCATAGGGTGTACATTCTGGTCAGCCTCAGTTCTCAGTTTTCAAATTCTCTTCTCCCCCCCCCCCCCGCCCCTTTCTTCTGTGTCTCTTGCAGGTGGAGGAGGGAACCGAAAGGGAAAGAGTAAAAAATGGCGACAAATGCTGCAGTTTCCACACATCAGCCAGTGTGAAGATCTTCGGCATACATTGGGTGAGGAGCACACCTGTGATGATGTATTCAGTGCTACCTGGATGGGGGTGGGGGGTGGGGCTAGATGTAAAGGAAGAAACCTTGAGTACTTGCCACAAGATCTTGTTTTGTTTGTTCCTTTGTGAGCTGTGATTGTTCATATGCACGCCTGATTTCTTTGGATATCATTGTGATACTGTTGCTCTTCCATGCTGGGAATCTTTTGTAAGTATATCACCTTCTGTCATGTGCTACTTCATTCTACCATGTCCTGCTGGCAAACTTATGAGAAGTTGTAGTCCACTGGTAGAATGAATATTTTGCATGTATTACATCGTACCTTTCTAACAAGGCTGAGAAAAGCCTCCGCTTGTTATTTTGGAGATCATCTACCAGTTGGAGTAGATGGTATTGGTCTTATCTGACTTTGTATAAGATAGGAGTAGTTTAAGTTTCAAACTCTCTGAGTCACAGACTTTAAATGCTTTTGAGCCACAAGATGCCTTCAACCCTTGCCCATACTTTAAGCATGCATTGTTCTATTATTCAACTAAAACAATGCTAACGTTAATGTAATGTCACAGCTAATTAGAATGGAGCTTTGTGAGCCTCTGTGCTGGCTGTAAGTCTTTTGAAACCCATTAGATAAAGGAAAAGTCTTAGGAGGGGGTGGATTGTTATGCCCCCCCCCATTTCCTGGATGAAGCCTGTGAGGCTTGGGTGGGAAGGTTCCATAGGCTAGGTCTAACTTTTGCAAGATAACTGTGAATACATAAAAAGGGGAAACAGTGGCTGACCTCTTTGCCTTTTTTCCTTTCTGTTTTAAGCTTATGTTTCTTTTTGAGTGAGCCTGTTCTTTTTCCACTCTGTGCTGTTCACACCTCTCAGTAGTCTGGAAGCTGGTAATGCTTTTTCACACTGTGCACACCTCTTAAGCAACTGCTTCTGTCCCCTCCATATTTTTTTAGCAGTCTCATCCCTCTTCTCTTCCTTGCATGCTTCCTAAGTTACTTCTCTCTCTCTCTCTCCCTCTCCCTCCTGTGAGTGGTGCCTGTAGCCCAAGTGGCTACAGAGGGGAGGAATTGCCCTGTTTTCCAGCATCTTGGGGAAGATGTCAGGAGCTACAAAATACATGGGCATTTTTGTTGACCCAAGAGTTGTCAGCAGTCAAAAACATGTAGAATTCAAGCCATAGCTTGGCCATCCTTAATAAAAAGGTATCTTCAGATGTCTAGTAATACCCATCTTCTCTTGTCAATGCACTTGACCTCATCTGAAGCAGTTGATTTTTCTGTTCCCCAAATATGCCTGAGTATTTTTCACTCATACTCACCTAGTTATCAGTGCTTAGAAATAGCTGCTTTCTAGGTCTTTTGAGATCCCCTCATTTTCATCTCTGGTTATGCTAACTAAGGCTGATGGGAGTTGTAGATCAAAACATCTGAAGGCCTACAAGTTGCCCAGCTCTGCTTTAGAACCTGCATTCCTTCACCTGCACATAGGCCTGCTTACCAATCCTCACCTTGTATTCTGATTAACTCTTCACCTCTAATAATAATTATCTTACTGAAAATATAGTGGGCAGTTGAGTGACATCAAGGGAAAATCAAACTATTTCATGGTGAAATCATGCAGCTATCTAGCCTAAGCTTAATTTCTAAATTGTACTTGCAGCAGTTTCTTCTCATGAACTAGCTAGGGTCTCTTTTGCTGACATACACGAGCCCAAGGATCTATCAAGATGAAAAATATTCACAGCCCTTCACCCTAGACCTTCCCTTTTAAGGCAGTGACAATAAAAGAACTTTTGAGATGACAAGCTTATACAAAAAGTCTCAAGAGACAGAGAAATTTTAGATGCTTCCAAGACTTCCTCAGCTAGGCCTCCCTTAGAACCTTTGCTCTTATTAAGTGCATGGTGGATGTGCAGGCACCCTCTATCAAGATGAAAAATATTCACAGCCCTTCACCCTAGACCTTCCCTTTTAAGGCAGTGACAATAAAAGAACTTTTGAGATGACAAGCTTATACAAAAAGTCTCAAGAGACAGAGAAATTTTAGATGCTTCCAAGACTTCCTCAGCTAGGCCTCCCTTAGAACCTTTGCTCTTATTAAGTGCATGGTGGATGTGCAGGCACCCTCACGGATGACAAAGGAGATTCTTTTTCCCTGGATAGTATGCCTTGATACTGAAGTTGTGTGTGTAAGGAAGCCTTTTACACATGACTAGAATTCTACTGCTTGTGCAGTAAACCCAGATTTAGTCATTGCAAATTGCATAGAGAGCCTTATCACAGAAAGTAATAAATAAGTAAATATTTTGTCAGATTTATTCCAGTGGTGGTGTACCTTTTCCTGGAATTACGATTTTACAGAATTTTCTAATGTAATCACTGTGTGAAGGAAGAGCTAGAAATACCGGCAACTTAGATGAGCAGAGCAGGCTAAATGTTGGCTTGGCTTATGAGCAAGCTCTTATTTGTGGTTGCTACCATCTCCCCTCTTCATAGAGGATTTACGAGAGAGGACTTCTCATTTGTGCGGCCTATGAAGTAGGTAATAAATGATAGGTGTCCCTGCTGGTGTTCAACGGAGAAATCCTATTGTCTCGTACCTGCTTGAAAATAGCAGTTAGCATGGGAATCCTGGAATAGGGACCTTTGTTGTGCAGAGGTCTTGCTTCCCAGAGGCTTGGGGATTAGTTGGCTTATGGATTTATGGAGGATGTTCTTTTGAGGCTGAAGTAAGAAAGGTGAGTGATGTGGCACAGGTTTTGACCAGTATTCAAGACTAGCATCCTGTGTTGACATAACTAGGCTTTAAGCAGAAAAATGTTACTCAATTGAAGGCGAGAAGTTCATTACATTTAAATGTAATGCTTTGCTGTTCATTTCCCCCATGCTGACTCCTGTTTGCGAAAGAGACATACTGAATGTTAGATTCTACATTCAGTCTAACTTCTTAGGAAGCTTCTATGTAGAGATGCCAACCAGTGGTCTGTCTGGTGTAACATGATCCGTTCTACATTGGCAGAGGCTCTCCAGGGTTTCAGGCAAGGGGTTAAGTCTGTTCTTAACATGTTAACATGACCCTTCAGCTCAGCATTCAGTTCACTTTCTGCTCCAATCCTGTGTATATATATGGTCCTAAATGTGGACTAAGCTAGGGTTTCCAGATGCTACCCACAACAATGCCCAGGCTTTCTTCTTGAGTGGTTTCACTTCATTATTCCTTCCAATGTGCATTACCCTGTGTTTGATGGAAGAGAGAAATTCACTGTTGGTGCTCTGCCAGTATTTCAGTGCTGACTCTTCAAACTCAGATATTTCCTGAACAGCCTAACCATATGACCTTTCAAAATTTAGAGTATCAGCCTGACTTAATTTGGATGACATCTTTTCTGTTACCATCTTTGCTACTGTAATTGTTCCTATGATCTCCCTGTCCTGTGAAGTATCTCTTCTACTGCCATCTGTTTAAAATGCCCAGTTTCAGCTTGCAAGAATCTGCTGTTGACACAGTTACTGCAGTCTTGGTCACTGTCTTTAGTTTGTATGCATGATGCACAAGCTAACACTGTGATGTTCAAGGGAAACAGACACTTGTAAGGATGTGTGCAATGACCTTCTGGTTGGCCAAGACATGCTGTGTATCTTAAAGAACTGACAGTTGCATTGTGGGATGTGTGAAGTCTCTATGGCCATACTTTCTCTTATAAGCAAGTGGAGAGCTGGAAGAAATCTAGGATTCCCCCTCTTCTGGCAGCTCTTTTATTTCTGTTTGTTAATTCCCCTGTGCCCCATCATGGAGCTCTTGGGGCAGCCCCGCCAATCTAGTGCAAAACTTATGCCTCTGGAGGAAGAGTTCCTCTGTGGCAGTGGCATTGGTGCAGTGAAGCATCTTGTAATCTTCCAGGCTGTGAACCTTCACCTTCCCTCACTCAGTGCTCACATTTCCTGTTAGAAAAAGGAAATGGTGCCGCTTGCATATGGCCTCTTTCTCCTCCCCCACCTCTTTCTGGCTTGGCGTTGTTTTCTTTGAGTGTATTCACAAATCAGGAAACCACAGTTTCCTTAGAGAAACTGCTGCACCGAAAAGCCGAGTATTTACAACATACTCCATAAGAGAGTTGGGGTGGGGTGATTTACAGAAGAGAGGCTTCCTGGGAAATGATGACTAAACTGATTCCGGCAAGGTGGGTGGAGCTGTGAGGTATGACCTTACGTTCATTAGATATTTGGGATACTACGGAAAATAAGGGTCACAAACAGTATTAGGATTCCTCTTCAAATATTTCATCAAAAAAACATTAAATGTTTAGAAAACTGTGACAATGCCAGCAACCTGTGGTGGTTGTTCTTGAATTAGGTTGCTCCTTCTTTCCTCAGGATCTGTGGCTGCCCCATGACACTGTTGGGGCCGAATTGTCCCGTTTGGCTTCGGTTCTTGATGCTCGATCCTGGATCAAAAGTTATAATTACTCATGAAATGGAAATGGTAGTGGGTGATGCAGTTGCGGGAATCAACTCCTGTTCAGTCAAATTTCGTTTTGACCTGTTTTTTGTTTTCATTTGGTGATGCAAAATAAAGCACATCTTTGCTTAGTAGAACAGATGATGTAAATATTGACAGTTGGATTAAAAGGGTAAAGCACTGATAGAAAACTTCTCTACACAAAGCATTTATTGTACTCCTGGTTGTTTAGACAAAACCATGACCCTCTAGTTTCACTTCTGTTTTTTTAGAGTATCAACATGTAAAAGAAAACTATTTTTCTACTTGTGTGATTGAGTTTTTCTGCTATAGTGCAATGCCTCCAAGAGGATATGTAGTAAAAAGAAAAAAACAACAGGAATGGCAAGCTCTTTGTGTAGATTTATGGATCTCAGTTTCATGAGAAACCCCAAGGTAGAAATAGCAAATTAACAGCTCATCCAAACAAACTGGATCACAAAATGAATGTTTTGACCCTGCTAATTCTCAGATAAAATCTAAGTTGAAATGGTGATAAGTTGGAGCTTGAGAGTGGGGGAACTCTGAGGTTCCCAAAGGCAGGGTAGCAAAGGGATAGAGGCATAATTGGGAGAAGAGGAATGATGGCTGGTTTTCTTCTTACTAAGATATAAACCCCCTCTGTTTCAGCCCAAATCCTTGATCCAGGCCTGTCTTGTAATTCAGGGGAGAACTGCAGAGGGGCTGTTCACCTTACTATTCAATCCCTGTCCCTGGACCACTTGAAACCCTTTCTCACCACCATTGTGATTTTACTGCCTCTGTAATTCTCAGACCACATCCTGGGCACATCTGTGTGGCACAAGAAATTAAAAATCAGAAGCTTCCATGAACTTGAAGTATTCACCAATGGATGATGCTGCCTACTGTATCTCAGTGTGGTGTCCCTGCTTTGGCCTTGCTGACCTTCCCTCTGCTAAGAGGACAAGTTATTCCTCTTCTTGTATTATTTGGATCGTGCAGCTACAACTAATGCAGCAGAATCCTCTCTTCTGAGGAGGCTGCCCTGTTGCCTCTCTTGCTTCTGCATGACTCACTGATCTGGCATGTATCCCAAGTGGAAGGGCGCAGGCCTTGAGCAGTGACTTCTGCAAAGACCTTGGCAACACAATTTAATAAGAGAGCTAAATGTCATTCTTCTCTTCCCCGTGCCCTCCAATTATGGCAGGCTTTAGAAAGAGGTTGTCCTTGAGACTAAATAGGAAAAAGAATAAAACCTCTAGTGTACAAATGTCAGGTTGAGGGCAGAAAAGCAAGCAATAAAAGATTAATCTCATTGTGGGGAGCTGACTTGTTGGACTTGTAATTTTACCACTGATAGAGGTAGGTTGGAGTGCCTGCATTGTAACAGCTAAAGAAACTATGAAAAGAGGAAAGCCTCAAGCTGATATTTAATAAGATTCCTCCTCTTTTAAGGACATGTTAACTATCCTGTTGCATTAAAAAATGCTTCCTTGGGAGCAAGCAGTGAATTAAGCTAATTTTCTCCTTTTTTTTCCTCTCCTCTTGCTCTCTTCCTTGTAAAGAAAGCTTTCTTGAAATGCTGCTTGAGAGAGTATGTAGGCATTGCTGCCTGCTGTAAAGAGATTCTTAGATCCCACAGGGCTTACCAAACTCCTTGCTCGAACACTTCACTCTTCATTTCTTAATGCAGATGTAGCCACGAATGTTCCAAAGTGCTGGGTGACTTGTTAAACAGAACCAAATATTTCTGCCAAGAGAGCTCTTAATCTTAAAGGTGTGGCAGAAGGGTCTTGCACCTGGAAATTAAAATATTAAAATGAAGATGAAGCAACACAGAGGTTCCCTGCTCAAGATAGTAGCATTTTTAGAGCAAAAATAAAAGGTTCTGGACTCTGCATTGAGTTCAGAATCTTTCAGTGAAGTAAAACCCACTGAATTATCTGGAAGATGGTGTTAGTGTCCTTCTTCCTTCAGTCTTCCCTGATTTTGGTACAGGTTAGGAGATATCATACTTGCTTTCTTTCCAGAGCGAGACTACCACAGTTTGTGTGAGAAGCAGCCCATTGGCCGCCTGCTGTTCCGTCAGTTTTGTGAAACACGAGTTGAGCTTATGCGCTGTGTCAAATTCCTGGATGCTGTGGTAAGCACAACTGCATGAGAACCACCTCCTCGGGTTATGCACGGGTGGTAGTTAACTTCAGCTTTTGGATTAGGGGATCTCATAAAGCTGAGTGCACAGCCTGAATACTTTCCTGTTATTTGTATTTTACTCAGAGCATGATCTCACATTCTCTTTACTGTTCTTAGCTGCTTTGAGCACCATTCCAAAAAAAAAAAAAAGATGGAGAATAAATAAAATTGGGAGGGTTTCTTGGTCTAGAAATATTTTAAATGAAATAAAAATTATGTTTTATACCTAAGGGTGTAATCCTATTCATATTTAGACAGGAAAAAGGCCTACAACAACCAGCCTGCAGGGCCATGGGGCATGCTGGGAGTTGTAGGCCTTTTTTCTGCCCAGTGAGTCTGCTTTAAATGTCTTAAATAGACTGTGATATTGAATTCTGGACTGTGATATTGAACTCTCCCACACTCAAATATTTAAAAAGAAACTGGACAGCAGCCTGAGTGGCATGGTGTAAATTGGTGAGCTGCAAGAGCAGAGGTTGGACCCGATGGCCTTCATGGCCCCTTCTAACTCTACTATTCTATGATTCTGCGCTTCTCCAGAAAGAAAACTGAGGCAGATGAGGGATTTCTCTGACACCCCTAGTCTACCCAAAAAGTGCTTGGCTTGGATAGTTTCTCATCTTTTTTGTTTTGATTGAAGTATAGGTCTCTAGAATAAGTTACTTAGTATTGCTTTCTTCTTATTCTGTATAGGCAGAGTATGACGTGACCCCTGATGAGAAACGGAAAGAGTATGGGCAGTGCCTGATTGAGACCTATCTGAACCCTAAGGTGAGATCCTTCTCAGTTTGCAAAACAAAGGAACCGAATGGCTCACTGCAGGGTGCTGTTCTGATGGGATGCACTATTGATTCAAAGCAGTGGTCTTGGTGAGAGCAGCAGGTGCCCTGGTGCATGGACCTGAACATTGCTGAACTGGAGGAAGCATCTCTGCCTAGGCCTTGTGTCAGCACTTGGCAGAAACCCAAAGGGCCCATTAGGACTGACTCCAGGATTGTTTAATGTGTGTGTGCTACAAATGTTAAGGGCCTGGAGTTGAAAGGAAAAATGCTGGGTTGGGCAGGTGCCTTTTCCTTTTTTTCACCCCAGGGCCCCTGGACTCTGCCCCCAACACAGCCATGCTGTGCTAAGAGCAAGAAGACCTTGGCAGCTGCAGCTGCCCATTCCAGAGCTTCTTGCATTGCCAGGCCCTTAAAGAAACAAAGACAAGGAGTTGTGCCGGTGTGGCTACCTCTCTGAAGTGCTCCCTGGCAGGCCTTGGTTGGCTCTCTTTCAAGAGAGTGATGCTGATAGAAGTCCTGGGCGGCTGCAACGACCTTTCCCTGCTGCTAGTCTCGGTCACCTGGTAACGTGCTGAGGGCCCCACTGGAGTACCTAGACCACCTTCATGCTTGACCATGCTGGTTCACAGAACCTGCACAATGGCAGTTCGCCTGTGTGACCCTGACCCTTTGTCCTCAGAGTGTGGACCATGTGCCTGAAGTGCCCCCGGAGCTAGTAAATCTGTGTTCTGAGCGACTGGAGCAGGAACCGAGTAAAGAGCTCTTTAAGGAATCTACCAAGTGAGTGGGGGGATTGGGAGAAATTTGTTTCGCAACATTCACATTCTCCAGGACCGTAGTCAGCGATCACTTAACACGGCCTAACTTTGTGGTTCATCCAGTTCATGTGTAGTTGGATGATTTGTCCCCAGCAGGTTTTGGATTTGGAATAGATATTTATTTCCCAGTGGGTGGCATATATGCAAAAGGCAGCATATGCAATGATCCCTGGTGACTTAATCCTCTCTTGATGGCGGGTGGAGATATTTCAAAGCAAGATGCCTTCTTTTGACTTGTATTTTTGGGAAGAGTGTACCTGGAGTGCTGGTCTGAGGGCACATGATGTGACAGCCTTTGCTGAAGCTAAGCAGGTCTGCATCTGGTCAGTGTCTGGATGAGAGACTGCTTGGGATGCCATAGAAATGCCACTGTGATTTGGATGGATGAAAAGCAGAATATATGTTAAAAAGTAAGAAGGACCTATGTTTCAAATTTCTTACTTTACCTTGGTGGCAAATATTCGTGCATACTGTTTGGATGGGTACAGGCAAAGGTTGTGTTTCCTCTTGCCACTGATCATACTGCTTGCACTTGAAGCTCTGGCAGCACTGAATGGAGGCTTCTTCAAAGCAAGCATTTGAACAGAGGTGGACCGAAGATAGACTGAGGTTTACCAGTAGATGTCTGGGAGATTTGCAGAAGATCTGCAAGAGTTTGAGTCACAGCAGCAGTAACAGAATTCCCCCTCCTAAATTCACCTCTGTGATGGATGAAAATGAAGATGGGGGAGAGCCAGGAATGGATTTCTGTGTGACAGGGCCATAAACTAAGTTCTGAATTCCTGGGCTGAGTTATGTACTCAGATGTATCCTTGTTTCTGAGGCTGCATGTCATCCCCTCATTCCCCTGCCATTTGGAGCCAGTATTTTGTGTCAGGATCCAATTTGTGGATTTGGGGTCTGCTACACACATGTGTGCATGCTGGATATCTTCTCACCCACAACCTAGAGTGTACACTCCATCTGTGCTTTTCATCCTGTCTCATTGGCCGATATAATTTAGATTTTTGGTCCCAAATCTTGCTACTGTGACTGTGCAAAAAACTGGTGGGAACAAAGAGGCTCTGCTGTGGAGCTCTGCTCTCTCTGGCAGACACTGAAAAAGGAAGTCACCCTCATATTCCTTCATGTATTGCGCTCCAGACTGAATGTTGTGTTCCTGGGCTCTCCCCTAATGCCTGCCTTCCTTGGCACTGCCATGACCACATGACCTTCAGAGAGCTGAAGAGTTTCAAGCTTGATGTTCATTCCGCCTTTTGTCAGAGAAGCCTCAGGCTGTGCCCTCTTTATTCCCTTGCCTAGGAAGGCCTCACCTGCTCTGATAGACTCTGCTTCCTTCCCTAGGCTCATCCATGACTATCTTAGCATGGCGCCTTTTGCCGACTACCTTGACAGTATTTTCTTCAACCGCTTCCTGCAGTGGAAATATTTGGAAAGGTAACCCCACTTTGCTATTGGCTTAGTGGTATAGGTAGCTCTACTTTACGGGGCCTGGAGACTTTATACATGATATACAGGGTATGTTTCATGCCTGTAACACTTCTGTCTATCATGTGACAGGAAAGATCCTGGCTCACGGGTGAGTCCCGAGGACAGAACGGAAAGGAGACCTCCTCAGGATGTGTTCTGGCTTTGCAATCTTTAGCTTAGCCTTGAAATGTGCTGAGGAGTCTTGATCCCGGCTTTATTCCAGTTGATCAAGCTCATATATGTATAATGTGACTTGCACAAATTGCAGAGCAAAACTGCTTCCGTTCTGTGGGTGCCTGGGGATCAGGAGAACTGTCATTTTTTTTTTAATGGATGGCTTGAAGTTCACTCTCTTTTCCTCCTTTTGGTTTTTAGGCAGCATGTGACCAAGAACACTTTCCGCCAGTATCGTGTACTGGGAAAGGGAGGCTTTGGAGAGGTATGTAACCTGAACAACCCTGAGGAAACAACTGCCTTGGCTGCTTTCAAGAGCCTGTGGCATAGGATTGTTGTTTATTTCAGAATAAGAGCCCTATAACAAGCGATTCCTGGTTACCCAAGAAGCTCTTGCCCAGGAGTACTTTTCTGAACCTTGAGTGGTGTCCTGCCTACAGTTGTGTTCAGCATTTTGAAGCTGTTTCCTTGCTGCTTCCCAAGTTTCTCACACAGAGAGTGCTTTATAATGCAGGCAGTTGCTAGGGCTGCAAAACCAGAAGTGATATCTTGAACCATACAGTTTTTGTTTGCTTCTGAGCTCTTGGTTTGCCACATTCTTCTTTGCATGGCAATAGAGCTGTGAACCAGGTTTTCCAGTGAAAGCCAAGGCTCCCACACACAGTGTATAGCGATAACCATTTTGTCTATAAGGTGCTTTTGTACCTTCAAGGCATCAGTGTAAAGTAATGCTTTCAAGATCCAGAAAGCCTATTAACTGGTACAGAGCTGGTAGAAATCCCATGACCTGTAATAATTTTTACTTCTTCCTTCAAGGTGTGCGCTTGCCAGGTGCGGGCCACCGGGAAGATGTATGCCTGCAAGAAGCTGGAGAAGAAGAGGATAAAAAAGCGGAAAGGTGAAGCCATGGCCTTGAATGAGAAGCAGATACTGGAGAAAGTGAACAGTAGGTTTGTAGTAAGTACATAGGAATTGCTTTACTTCTGCACTAGGAATAATGCAGGGCGCACTGCAACGTTGGCTCTCGCCTGCCTTGGTGAAACTATGTCTTTGCCCCATTCTGTGGGGCTACAACGGGAGGATAAGGTTGCTGGGATTTCCCATTCTGGGCCTTAATCCTACAGGTCTGTATTTATAGGGTAGTACTAGACTCTGTAGGGGATCCTGTGACAACAAATACAATTTTCAATTGCCAGAAAACAGTGGGGGTAGGGGGAAGGTCCAGAGAATTATGTAAAGCATTATGCACACCGTGGCTCCTCCCCCATATCCTTCTAAGGCAGGGATGGCGGATGAGCAGCCCTCCAGATGACAATGGGCTGGAACTCCCATAATTCCTCACCTTTAGTGTTGCTGGGCAAAGCTGATGGGAGCTGCAGTTCAGCATGATTTGGAGGGTCGCATGTTCCCCACCCCTGTTCATATTTATCCATGGCCATTGATGTGCCAGCTGTGCTTCTCCTTGGTTTCATCCCACGCTGCTACTAGAACATTTGACAACAAGGGCCATATGGGCAAGACCAGTGGTGCTGACTTTCCCACTCAATCCTTGCACTCATTTCCTAGCCAGGCAAGAAATGGGTGGCCAGGACCTGCACAACTGACCATTCTGGCATAATACTGGGCTTCCAAACATCACTTTTACAGTATACCCAGCAATGAAGGACTCAGAAGTAGTTGGGATGGCAAGATAGAGTCCACTACCTGGTTCGAGGGTGTTTTTTTAAATTTATTTATTGCAGGGAAACTGAGTAAATGCTGCTTTCTCTAGTGACTGAAAGGTACCTGAAGCAGCTATAACTTTCATTGAGTTTTTTTAACCTAAAGCAGGGGTAGCAACATGAAACACATGAGCCACATAGGGTTCCTTAGAGCACCCCCTGCCATCCCCTGAAATTCAGGGGATGCCCCCCAAAATTATACCATTTTGGAGGACCAGATAAATTTGGCTTCTGGAATGCCTGCAGACCATCAAATGGGTCAACATTATTTTGCAGACAAGCTAATTCTAACCCTTTGGGTAGTCCATGGCAGCTCTACCATGGGTACCGTTTCTATTTTTCTTTCTTAAATTCCTACCACCAGAGTTTTGGCACCTGTAGGGGGATTGGCATGGTCTCCACACCTGAAGTTGCCAGCCCCTTTCTAAAAATTAGAAAAGTATTTATGGGGAGCCCGCTCTCTACAACTTGATTTCTCAACAAGGTCCAGTGGGCCTAAGAGAAGGCGTCGTCTGGGTACTTAGTGTGTACAGAGTATTGTGTTGCTGTTACAGTGCTAGGGGATTCTTTGCAGCTGGGAAAGATCTGATTGGCTGGACATTCTGGTGAGTGCGAAGCACTTGTCCTGCATGTGTCATGAACTGTGTTCAAATACTGGCACAGTTCTGACAGTACTGAAAGCCACACTGGACTCTGCTTTGCGTTGGTGCTCTGACAGTTGTGTTCTCAGGCTTCTTCTGTTCCTCTCTGTATTTGCAGTTCTGCATCACATCCAACCCCTTCTCTTTTGCTCCTCCTTCCTCCACTCCTCTTAGCTCCTCCCCACAACCGAATGTGAATTTAAGCTTGACAGCTCACTCTTTCTGTACATGATACACACACAGAGCTTCAGCTACAGTCTGAGTGGCCTCTTGCTTTGTGTGTGTCCCTTCTGCCTTGTGCATACGTGCAGCTCTTTTAAAGGTCAGCACAGTGTTGTAAGGAGGTACCGTACTGCATGAGGCTATGCTGGTGCTTTTCTAGGGGTTGACTGGCCTGCTTGTCCTGTAGGTGAGCTTGGCCTATGCATACGAAACAAAAGATGCCCTGTGCTTGGTCCTGACGCTCATGAACGGCGGGGACCTGAAGTTCCACATCTACCACATGGGCGAAGCAGGCTTTGAGGAGCCCCGGGCAGTTTTCTATGCTGCTGAAATCTGCTGTGGCTTGGAGGACCTCCACAATGAGAGGATAGTGTACAGGTGAGAATGGAGCTTTCTTCTGGGGTTCTGGCTAGGATCCTGATAGCCAGGACTTGTGCAATGCCTTAAGTGCTGCTCCCAAACTGCACAATTACTGGTCAGAAGTTGAAGAAAGTCTGGTGCTTTTCATTTCTCAGATTCAAGGGAGTAGGGAAAATCATGGGATCAACATGGCTGATCTGGGCTAGGAAAATGCCCTGCCTGACAAATGGCCGAGGGATGCAAAATATGGCTTGTACCTTCACAAGAAGCAGGGGGACCTGAAGTGCGGGGAGTTCTCTTGGTTTTTCCAAATCTTAAGGTTATCTGATGTTCCTTATGTGGTAGTCCTGAAGAAAAAAGCCCAGTTAGGTTTGGATCTTAACAAATCTTACCTTCTTTTCTAGGGACCTGAAGCCAGAGAATATCTTGCTGGATGACCATGGTGAGTTAAATGTGTCTCCTAAATGCTCATCAGCAATTTGATACATCTCAATTTTTATTAAATATTTTGTTCTGGGTTGAGGGGAGCCTCCAAACCGGACACTCACATAACTCACTTTCCTTTGATAAGGTCACATCCGCATTTCTGACCTGGGGCTTGCTGTTTATGTTCCGGAGGGACAGACGATAAAAGGCCGAGTGGGAACAGTTGGCTATATGGGTGAGTATATAGGAAGTGCCCTGATGAGGCCATGAAGCGCATCAGAACCAGGACAGGGTGAAGGCAATCTTTGGGCAAAGCTTGTGGGTTGGAATAGAAGCTGATGCTAGTGCAATGGACAGGGAATCCAATAAGAAGGAAACTCAAATTAGGGTTAACACATTGAAAAGAAGTGAAAGTATACATCAAGCTAAGAAACTGCATTTGTCTTTGTTACTATACATCCTACTTCATTTGCTTCTATTTTGACAATATCTTATTTTATCCAAAAAGTTCCCCCCTCCTGAAGTACGTTAGGGTCCCAAGCACATTCTGAGGTGTTAGGCAGAGGTGAAGTAATGGCTTATAAAGCAAACTAATATTTCTTAAACAAATGAGGACATAGCTTGGTCTGTTCCAAGCCAGAGAAGCTCGGGCAGCTGCTGAGAAGGTGTGGGATGAGCAATTTTCCCATGCCCAAAGGAAAACAATTTCGTTTTTGCCCTTTTCTTGGAAACATCAGATAGTCAATCCTGAGATGAATTGAATTCATTAGAATTGGCAAAAGTAAGTGTTGTTCGATTTGCTTTTGATGGACAGTGGCACATTCTATGCCAACAATATCCATGTTCCACTGGTTGTGATTAGATATTTAGATGAAGCAAATTCACCTCTCTTCCCAAACTTGTATTTTGGTAGACATTCTAATGAACATGGACTCTATTTGTGCTGTTTGAGTAAAAGTGGAAAATGCAGGTTTTATGAGACATTGACAAATGGACAATCTTTTTAAAAGAGAGCATGTTCACACAGGTCTGCAGGATGAGTTGGCTCCTCCTTCTGGCCCATCTTTGAAGCCTAGCTGGGACGGGTGGAAGGTGTCAAGCGCTCCCTCTGCTTCCTCCTGCTTTTTCCTTAAACAGTGGCATTTGCCCGGTTAACACAAGGCTGGGAAACCAGCAACAGTCTAACCATGGGATATTAGGTTCATAGGAAGCTGCCCTGAACTAACACAAACGATTGATCTATCTAAATCAGTATTATTTACACTGGCTTGCATTAGTGCTTTCATCAGGCAGGAGACTTTCCCAGCTTTTCTGGGAGATGCTGGGGTGGAGTCTGGTACTTCTGGCATGCGAAGTATGTGCTCCACCACTGATCTAAAACCTTTCCCCCAAAACCCAGTTCTGTGTATTAGATGTGCATTCCTGTTTGCATGGTTCTTTTCGCAGCTCCTGAAGTGGTGAAGAATGAGCGGTACACATTCAGCCCTGACTGGTGGGCCTTAGGATGCCTGCTGTATGAAATGATTGAGGGCCAGTCCCCATTCCAGCAACGCAAGAAGAAGATCAAGCGTGAAGAAGTGGAGCGGCTAGTGAAGGAAGTGCAAGAGGAGTATTCTGAGAAGTTCTCACCCGCTTCACGCTCTCTCTGTTCCATGGTACAGAGGCTGCCTCCTTGGCCTTCAGCCAGTCGCCCTCCTTTTATCATTGCGAAGGCAGGGGGTGCTTTCTTCAGAGTGGGTTCTGGGTGCCTCAAGGAGAAAGCTGCTCCCTGGAAACCAGCTGATAGGTGGTACACCGTCCCGCAACTCTTGCTGTGCCAGTGAGGCTGGTTTTCTGTGCAGGGCCCTTTCCAAAGCCAGGAAATCAAGCTACTATACCATTACAAACCAGTTCAAGGCAATGACAGCTTCATAACTAGATTAGTATGTGGTGTGTATAGTCTAGCTGAAGTTCTGTCATAGATATCAACATTCCTATCTGCACCATAGATCTGGCATCAAGCAGATAAAGAATGCGCTTCAGTTTTTGTTGTCTCATCTTGTTAATTTATTTGCTCTCTTAGTTGTCGAGGTCTAAGGCCCTAGGAGGAGATCCTTGTGGATTGCCAGTGCTGAGGCTTTCATTTAAATGAGGGAGGCATCTTTCTCTCTGGATTGTTCATTAACCAGTAGATACACAGCAGTGATTTTAAGAATACCTTCTCCGCATTTTTAAGTAAAGCTAGAAATTGGTGGAGGAACCAAGGGCTGAATGTGAAATGACTCAATTAATGCATGTCCCACACCCACTCATAGGTCTGGTTGCACACACAACAATCTCAACCAGTGGAAAGCATGAGTGGGCTTCATTTCTCTTGCCCCAGTCAGTGTAATCCCTTTGCATACGACTTCTTTCTCTTAGTGATACTTTTGAGCTGCTAGCACCAGGCTCAGATGAGCAGTAGTTGGAAGGAAAGCTGCTTGTGTATAAGAAAGCTAGCTAGTACCTCACCATGCTATAGTCTCTCTGAATGTGATGTTAAGAATGCTTCACTCTGCAGCCATCATCCCTAGTCCCTTTTCCAGCACTCAGCTTAAGTGGCTCCATTTTGTTCCTGAGCGTACACAGTACTTGGGTTGGCAGTTCTGGGGATTTGGAGGGTGCGGCACCATTCCAGATGCCTACAGTTGACGTTTACTCCAGCAGTTTTTCTGAACCAGAAATCTAAGCTCTGCTTTGGTTTCTACCAAAAATAAAGCAAATAATTGCTCAAGTTCCGTGCTGGCTGGATGGGGCAGGTGGGGAAGAAGACAGAAGAAGCTGCCTTGCACTGGCTCAGAGCACTGCGTCGTTCAGCCCAGGGTTGCTGACTGTGACTGGCAGCAGGTTTCAAGCAGGATTCTTCCCTGGCATAACCTGCAGATGATGGAATTGCACTGGGGACCTCCAGTATGCCAAGCAGGAGTTCTGCCACTGAATCATGGCCACCCTCTGAAGCAGATTTCAGTGTATGTTCCATTTATGGACCTGGCCTGTGGGCTGTTGCCCACTGTAGGAAGAGCTGCATAGCAGTGCGGAGTCCCGTCTTTGACTTCCTGTGCTGTGTTCTAGCTCCTGTGCAAAGACCCGCTAGAACGACTGGGATGTCGAGGTGCCGGTACCCAGGAGGTGAAGGAGCACCCGCTCTTCAAGCACTTGAATTTCAAGCGGTTGGAAGCAGGGATGCTTGATCCACCATTCAAACCTGATGTGAGTTCAGAATGTGTGTCTGGTGTGTGCTTACTTGCTGAATTCAAATGTTGGAGAAAAAGCCCGTTATATAACGCACTATTCTGCATTCCACGCAGCCCCAAGCTATCTATTGCAAGGATGTGTTGGATATCGAGCAGTTCAGCACAGTCAAGGGAGTAGAACTGGAGCCCATGGACCATGACTTCTACCACAAGTTTGCAACAGGAAGTGTGCCTATTCCCTGGCAAAATGAGGTGGGTATTCTGCTGTATTCTGGGGAACCTGTGCTTTGGAAAGGAAAATAAACACTGGCTCATTTGCTTTCGCCAGAGGTTGAGTGCAAAAGGGTTCCCCTGCTGGCGAGCCGAAGTATATAGAGCTCACTTGAGGGGATCCTGTTTGTGGGGGTTCTCAGCAGGGAAACCCAGTGGTGCATTCTGTATCTTTTTCTCCCCCCTTAGATGATAGACATGGAGTGTTTCAAGGAGCTGAATGTCTTTGGTCCAGATGGAGCCGTTCCTCCTGACCTGGACTGGAAGGGGCAGCAGCCAACAGTACCCAAAAAGGGTTTACTCCAACGTCTCTTCAGCCGACAGGTAACTTGTGTGGAAAACTGTCCCTGGAGCTCAGTAGTTCAGTCAACTAACCAGCTGCATAAGTGCCCCAGATGTGAGGACCTAAGAGCCAAAGCAATTTCTCCTCTGAGTAATCCTAGGCTCTTTGTGGAGAGCTTTTACCCAGCCAGTCTCAGGTTTGTGTTCCTTGAACTTGGAACTGATTTATGTGTGGCTGGCAGAAGAGAGTCATCATTCTGGGCTTTGCAGGGTTTAAGTCCCAAACAATCTTGCTCCTTCTGGTACTACTAGTCCTGTGAGTGTGAGCAAATAAGGGAAAAGCACTCCCCCAATGCTCCAAGGTCTCTTGTCATGACTTGGCCAGACCAGCCTTTTGGAAAACTCTAAGCCAGCAATGGGAGAAGAGCTAGGAACAGTTTGGAAAATACAATCTGTTTTCTCCGGAGTGTATCCCTTTCTCTCTCATGTCCATGATTTAGAAGTATAGCTCTGTGCACCGCACTTGTGCTGGTTGCAGGATCTTTGAAGAAGAAGCACTGTTCCCCCAGCGCCAGAGGCCTGGCCCTCCTGCCAGCATCCCGTGTGCATTATCCTTGTTCATGTATGTTTACAATATTTGCACGTGGCAATGAAAGCCCATCTGAACTGGCCTCCTCCGCATTTACCTGGGCTCATCCCTTCCCAACATGGCTCGCTGGCAGAGTTGCCCCATGCTCTGCTCTGGCAGCTACCACCATAAACAGCCGTCAATGTAGGCCAGGAAAAGCCTTGCCAGGCAGCACGGCCATCTCTGGCTGGAGCTCTCACAGCATCTTTTCTCATTCCAGAGGTGAGCAACCTCTTCCTTCCCGGCTGCTCTGCTCAGGAAAAAGATTACCCAAACTCCCCTGCGGACATGACAGGACAAGGGGATGAGGACTCTGCCTCGTCAGTGCCTCCCTTTCCCTCCCACCCCTTCCCCTCCAGAAGATGCTGCTTGCGTGCATTAATCATTCCCAAGCCACTAACCCTGCTTCCTGCAAAGCATCACGAACGCCTGGCCTCCTTGGCACATACAGGCAGTGGAACCCTTTTTCAGCACATTTTTGCTCCTGCTGCCAGGCCCCCTTTTAGTGGCTTTCCTGTGAGTAAGCAGAGAGCCTTCTCTTCATCCGGCACCCCAGGACCCCAAGCACTTTCCGAGAGCTCGCTGGTGCTTCGAGTGCTTCCCGCTTTGTACAGTCAGGCCTAACCTACTGCAGATGTTCCCTGGTTCATACCTCCAGGTTGTCCACCATCTTCCAGCGGCAGTTTTGCTGGACCTGCCTAAGATCCCATCTTTGCAGTGGGTTCACTAATGAGGAGTAAGTTCCAGCTCCTTGCTCTGCGCTCTGCCACTAATGGCTACCGTCCAAAAGTTTGCATTGAAAAGGTGTGGAAAAGGCACAGCCTGGCTGTGAATGAGTTGTGTGGGAGAAATCCCAGCAGGATTCTCTCTTCAGTCATGTGGCTTGGCTGCACTATCTTGGGAGCACTCCCCCAGCAGACTAGAGTGTGTGGTGCTGGGCCAGGAGTGTATTCTTGAGCGATGGCAAGATGGGAATAGAATCCTCTGCCTGTGTTGGAATAACAACTGTACTCACTCTTTGCTTGCTGTGTGCTCCCCTTTTCCCCTTGCTTTCTTCTACCCCTCCCTCCCTCCACTTTCCAGGACTGCTGTGGGAACTGCAGTGAAAGTGAAGAGGAACCCACTCGCCTCTAGGTCCAGCTAGTCCATTCTTTCTATAAGCCTGGCCAAGCCGTGAGCTGACTCTACAAAAGAGATGGTACTGGCCTTGTCCTGGCCTGGCTTACAGTCCAATTGCACACGCGGGCTGTAGGATGTACGGGCCCCTCATTTCAGGGAGGCAGCAGACCCCCGCCCCCAGAGGAAGTGCTCCCGGAATGGGGACAGGAGGCGACTGCAAAGACCTTCAGGGTGCTGCTGTGAGATCATCCTGCCACGCCTCTTTCCTTGCAGGAAGGTGATGGCAGACCTAGTGGAACATGCCAGGGCTGGCCCTGGCTCCGGCCTTTGGCCCTCCCGTCCGCTCAGCTACTGGAATTTGTTTTATATATTTATAATGAAATATCTATGAATGTATGTATATAGCATATGTACATTTGCAATGGTGGGGAGAGGTCCTTCTGCATTTCACCCATCCTTTCTCTGTCTGTCTCTTACCTCATCACCCTTGCTGCACCCCGGTGAATACTGTGTACCTGTAACTTCTGAAAAGCAAGGAAGCGGCTCCCCTCACTGCCCCAAGCAGTGGCTTCTGGCCCTTACGAGGTTTTTTCAAGTTCCTTTCCTGGATCCTGGGTCATATTTTTGTAGCCTCAGTGGAGATGGGGACTGGGAGGAGATGAGGTATGGCAGCTGAAACACACAAGCAGCCACCACTGGTCTGCAGGAGGCAGTCAGGACCTGCTGTGCGTGCCTGCGTCCTTACCTGTCCTTACCTGTGTCTCCCCAGTTGACTTGCATTATTGCCCCAGTGCACTGTAACAGCGGCAGCAACGATTGAAGGCTCCTTCTAGCCATGTCTAGGCAACACCCACAGGCTGCTCTGGGATGACCGGCTGTGGGCTTTTTCTCCAGGACATGGCTTCGTGGGAATAAAGGAAGCCTAGTAACAGTCAGTCTCATTACTGTTTGTAGAAGCAAACTGGTTTCCAGCTTTAATTTCTGTTGTGAAGCTCTAATGGGACCTGAACTGATGAGGAGAAATTGGGTGTGTTTATATCTTCTGCTGGAAGCCTCTGTAGGAACTGAGTCCATCTTTTGTTTTTAGCTTCTTCATTTCCCTGTACCACTATGCCCCTCAAAAAGCAATGCTTTTGACTGTCCTAGTACAGTTTTCCAAAGGAATGACTCTAGTTGAATCACCTGCCAGATGTGCCAATGCTGAAACCTGGGCTCTTGAGCCCTCTGTACTCTTGGCAGGGGGTCAGACCACAGAACAAGTGGGAGAGCTGGGATCAGATCCTTTGACATACTATTTTTATTGTAAATTGGGTGCTGGCTCTCTCCATTTGGAAGAGAAAGTGTGTGGTTCACCTTTTCCTCTGTGCACAAGGTTCCCAAAGTGAATTGTGCTCTGAAGCTGCTATTAGCTCCCCAACAGGGGGGAAAAATGTGACAACCAGTATTTGTACACAGTGGGGCAAAATGCACCTCTGGGGGAGCCGTTGGTGTCTGGCCCCATATGCCTTGTGTTTCCTTCTGTGTGGTCCAAGGTCCTGGTCCTCTCTTCCACAGGCTCCCATGACTGGAGCCCAGGGCTCCAGAGCTGCATTTATGCCTTTATGATGTCATGCTGAGCAGCCCTGTTCCACTCCTCAGCCAGGCCTAAAGCTTTCTGCCATTATTCTTTCCCTGAGTTCATGTCTCATGTGCACATCTTCAGTCTCCCAGTAGTTATCTCTGAGCTCATGGTCTGTGTTGGGAGCAGGGGCACTGCCTTTCTGCAGAACAGTTAGCCTCATTTCTCAGTTCAGCTGTGGTACCTCATGTCAGTATTGCACTTCTCGGTAATACTGAGGCGATTTTGAGTTCATTTGTTAATCGGAACTACTGATTGGTCACTGCTGTGGTGCGGAAGTAGATGCAGTGCATACATCACAGGTGCTGGTACAGTTTCATGGGTTTGGGACATCAACCGGCCTGCCTTGAATTTGAGGGTACAGCAACTCTTCCCTGGCTTCTGTGTGGCTGACAGAACATCTGTTACCGCCTTCCACCCTTGACTGATCTCTGCATCTTCTCTGCACCAACCATAATGGGCCCCTCTGACAGCCTGACATTCAGCTTCTGGATTAGAATCTCCTTTTCATCCTTTCCTTCCTTGAAAATTCTAATTGGCCATGAGATGCTATTTATAGACTTCCTGGAAGAAATGGGGGGGGGGGTCTTTTCCCTTTATTATTTTTAAATCAACTCAGTTCTTCCTTCAAAAACCTTTATAAATAATTCTGGCTGTCTTAAGACGAAAAACTTGGCTGATAATATAAGCATGTATGAATTGAGGTGATCTCATCCTAAACCATATCACAGAGCTGACTCAGATGTCAGATGTATAGACCCAGTCTATAAAATACAGTTTTTAAAATGGAGAATGCACTGCAACTGTGAACATAACATAGGAAGGCTTAACTGCAATATGATTGTGGATCCCAGGTCTGTGTTATATTGCAGGGAATCTTAGAGTTGGCAGTGATACCTGTAAATTTGCTATTGAGATTGGAGTTCTTTCTGCATTTTTAAGTGCAATATCTCCTTAAGATTTGTTAGATATACATATTGCAAACACACCAGTGAAAGGGACTGTTTCACAAGTGACAGAGTTATTTGATTTACTAATATCTGCCACTTGTTAGAAAGAAATTACCTTTTTAATTTAGATTTCATCCAAGTTGGGAATGTGGACTTTTCTATCTTATAGTAAAGGCATAGGTGTTTTTTTTTTTAAAAAATCAGGTTCTATTTGTATTATAAAAGATTTATATAGAAATACTTGAGTGTAGCTCTTAAATGTTAAACAGAAAAGCATGTTAATGTTGTCCTCAGTGACAAATTTTGTGTTTTAGCTCTGATTATAAACTAGAAACCTTGTTCTTCATCGAAACTGGAACAGGGTGTTCATTGTGTCTCTGTGACCTGTGTGGTGGCAGGTCTTGACAGGAATACTTGAGACAGTTATAAAACGGTTTTGTGTTTGTCCCTCTCGCCTATTATGGTTTACTCTGACTGGCATCGTCTTTCTCATCACCTACTATTGAACAGAGATGCCAGGAAATGAAACTGTAATGCCAGGAAATGGGGCCTTCTGTACGTGCTCTACCAGTGAGTTACAGTCCCTCCCGTATTGGCCACCACTCCAATGAACTGGGAACCAAAGAATGGTGTGACATTGAACATTTTACTTGATTAAGTTCTGGTTTAAATATTTGGGGGTTGAGAGGGGTGCTCACTTTTTATGACATAGGCAGGCTCCTGCCTTGCAAAGAAGAATGGTTGGAGCAATGTTCTTCTGAGGGTAGGAGCAGCTGTACTCAGTTCGGCATTCGGCATTCCCCACCAATTTTTTCCTTTGTGACTGCCAAAACTCTAGCCTGATCTGCTGACCTGGGTCACTCTTCTTTATTCTCCATGTCTACATTCCTCTCATGACTCTTCCCCCACCTCCCTGCATCCCTTTGTAAACCCAAATGGTACCTGTGCTTATTTTCCCCACTCCTATTCAAACGTGTATCCAATTCTCTCCTCTCATAATGGGCTTGGTCTGCCCGCTGTTAGCACTTCTAAGGAGCTCTGTCTGCTTTCCATCTTCTATAGTTAAACTAGTGTGTGGTTTGTCTCTGCTTAACTGCAGAGAAGAAAGATTACATACAATGGTGATGTTACGAGATGTACAATGCAGATATGCCCACTAGAAGCATTGGGAACTGGGCATGCCTAAGCAAGGAACTGCTTCCTTTCTGGAACTGTTTTTCTCTCTCCTCTGCTTTCTCCTCAAGAAGAACTCCAAGAATAAAAGGAGCTCCTTCACAGTAACTGTGGTGTGCCCCATTCATAAGTACAATAACAGAAACAAGCATGCTTTGTGAGTATATGTCAGTATGTACTTTGTGGACTGGCATCCCTGTCTTAAATTGCATGGAAGTGTGAATGTATTGTAGATTTGGCATTACCCATTGGAGAAAAGAACCAGTTTGAGTCTTCCTGTGCATGCACTGTTGCAATAACTGATACTGTACCATCATCTTTCTTAGAAAGTGACTTTGCTCATGGACTGTGGAGATGTGAAATGCATAAGAGGTCAGCTGCACAAGAAATGTTGATTAACAAGCTGTAAATGTTTGGCCTTGCTGGAGCGTGTAAAGCAAACTACACTGTGGTGTCATATTAATGAAAGCTTGATAGAAAGTCAGAGCCACAGTCTGAACCAGGCCAGTATCGTCTGTGTTGTGGCCTGTGGCCTGTGCCCTCCCCGGCCCACCCTGCATCAGATTCCCCCCAGCGCTGCACCGGCCTTGCGACTGTCCTGCAGCGCAGTACGATGCTCCTCCGATGGATGGGTGTGGCTTTGCTGCTGGTCACTGGCATGGAAAAAAAGCCCTCTGCAATTTCCCGCGTTATAAAATAAGAGCCATGACTTAAATTCATGAAATAGTATGGCCAGGTATCATTTAATGTCATTTTTTTAAAGTTTTATGTAGCACTCAATGGAGAGCCACCTAAACATCGGAGGAAATCAACACACAGTTGTTAAATGTCAAAAAATTAAAAGTAGGCAGGCACTAAATGTCAACACATAAACACCATCCAGGTTTTTAAAGTGCATGCTGTCATTCCTGAGTGGTAACCCAAAGGCCATCCATAAAAAGGCAGATGAAGGCTTCAGTGGAAGCTGATGGTTAGAGAATTTTTATTTTTTATTAAATTGTTTTTAATTATATAGCAAAGGGAAATCGTCCCTTCTCGTTCAGCTGCAGAGGAATGTTGAGAGCTGTGTGACCACCTCCCCACAGCCTGCTCTTCCACAGGAACAGAGGAAGGGTTGCTGCTTAATAAATACGTGGGAACAGGCACTACCTCAGGGACCCTAGCCCTAGACTCCCCAAGGTTTTAAAAGTTGAAACCAGTATTTGAATAGAGACTGGAGACATTGGCAAGCAATGCAGATATTTCCAGATAGGTGTAGATGGCCTCTCTGGACAGTTCAGCGGTCACACATTTCACTAATGTGAGCACATTGCAGTAGTCAATCCAGAGATTGCTACAATACGTACCCTGGTACCTAAAACCTGATAAGGGTGCCACTGTTGCACAAATATGCAATCAGTCTCTCTTTACATGTGAGAAAGATTCAATATAAGCTGAATCTCTAATATCACAAAAAATTTGCTACTCTACCAACATCTGCTGTTGATATCTGAATTAAGCTTCAATGTGTTAGCCTTTATCCAGTTGTTCACAGCTTTGGGAACCTATGGATCCTTCTGAAATCAGGAGAAGCAGAGCAGTGACTCCGTAGTTTAGGATATCCCACAACTTCATCAGCAGCCTCAAAGGATCCTAGAGCTGGAAGAATCCTTGCAGGTCACCCACCTAGCCTCCTACCAATGCTGCCTTGATAGGTGGCTCTCAATCTCTGCTCAAAAACTCTTTTACCATGTTCTGCTGCTGCAGAACTAGTACCATCAGCAACTTCTTCCTAAGATTTAGTCAAAATCCCTTTGTTATTGCTTGAGGTCCTACCCTCCGGAGCAGCCTTCTCCAACCTGACACTTTCCGGATGTGTTGGACTACAATTCCCCCCAGCCAGCAGGTCTGATCTTGATGGGATCATGGGACTTGTTATCTGACAGCTGGAGGATACCAGGCTGGGGAAGGTCACTGTGGAGTGCACCAGGATGTATGCAACAAAATTTCTTTCATATCTCTTGTCTCTTCTCCAGTCTAATCATGCCCAGCTCCTTTAGCCTTTCCTCACAGGACTTTTCTGCAGACCCCTTGCCATCTGCATCCTCCTCTAAATAAATTCCAGTTTGATGGTTCTTCTCTTCAAACTGGTGCCCAGAGCTGGACAGGGTGTTTCATATGAAGCCTGGGCAAAGGAGAAAAAACCAGGACCGTTATTTCTTACAATCTAGACACGATTCTTTTGCTGATGCAGCCTAGAACTCCATTAGTCATTTGAGTTACTCCTTTATACTACTGACTCATGTTTCGCTTCTGATCTACTAATATGCCTAGATCCTTCTCACATGCACTGTGTTAAGCCAGGTCTCACAGATTGTTAATGTACAAATAAGTCTTCCTACTTAATTGCAGAACTTTACATTTATCTGTATTGAGATTATTTTTATTAGTTCTGGCCTGGTTCTCCATCCTGTCAAGATCCATGTGAATTCTAGTTCTGTCTTCTGAAGTATTAAGCAGTGCAATATCATCTGCACATTGAAGGAACATTCCTTCTACTACTTCGTCCAAATGATTAGTCCAGATAGGAACATTGGTTCTAGGACAGAATCCTGCAGCATCCCTCTTGTACTTTCCCTCCAGGTTAACAAAGAGCCATTCATGAATACCCATTAGGAATGGCCCCCTACAAATCACCCAGTAGTAACATCATTTAACCCACATGTTACCAGTTCACCAGCTAGAACTCTATGGGAGATGGTGCCAAAGCCTTTGTGTCAACATTTACTACATTTACATCTTTCCCAGGATCTACTAGGCTAGTGATTTTCTCAGACAGTAGATATGCACTTGAGAAACTTATGCTAGTTCTTTGTAAACATAATATTTTCCCCTAAATATGCATGCCTGACTGGTTTCTTCCAGAACCTTTTCAGGTATCCATTTCAAACAAAGGAGTTGCCTACATCCTTGACTTTCCCACTTACTGCTTGAAGATGAAGACAGCATTTGCTTGCCTCCATTTCCAAAAATTATTGACAGAGGCTCTGAGTTTGCATCTGCAAGTTCCTTTAATAGACTAGGCTGTAATTCATCAGATCCTAAATGAGAATTCATTTCATCTCTCTTCCTTTTACTCCAAATATAGCCCACACCTTTTTGTTATTTTTAACCTTCCTTGCATGCCTAAGATCATTCTGTGCTTTAACTCTCCTCACATTCATCCTGTAATCTTTGAGTACTTGTTTGCATTTGTTCTTGGTACATAAGACCCTGTCCTTATGAACATGTCACTTTAATTCTGAGCTCATCAGAAAACTTATGTAGCTGGTAGTTCTTTGGTTGCCTTGTTTTGTTTTTAGATCACAGGTGGGCAGAAGGCAAATCTCCAGATGTTTTAGATCAGTTTGACAATTTGTCAAGAGTCCTAGGAGTTGAAATCCAAAACATCTGGAGATTCACTTGCTTTAAAACATGTAGCAGTTACTCTCATTTGAAACTCCTTGTTTATTGTTCCTGTTTGCTCACTCTGAATTATCTGTGTTAAATAAAAGAAACAAAATACAATTTTAAGGTTTAGGAAACTGAATGCTCCCAAATTAATATCTCATTGAAAGCCATTGGAATCCCTTGTAATGATTAAATATTATGACTGCATTTTGTTGTGCAATAACATGACTATCCTATTTAGCCTAAAATACTTGGCTGAAGTGTCTCCTAACCCTGTATGTTGAGAAATATGTCTTTATCTACAAAGACTACAACCAGGTAAATGGAACATTTGAGTTCTCACACACACGTGCGCGCTGGCCCAAGACATTTTGCTGTCTCAGGCAAAGGATAAGATGACATTCCCCTCTCCCCAAGTTTCCATACAGAACCTGACTGCAGTTGAATCTCTTTTAAATGCTGGTAACAACTTGGCCTCTTCCACCACAGCTGAGGGGAGCAGGCCCTTTGACAGAGTGCAAGACAGGTTCATAGCTTTGCCCCCCAAGAGAGGGATTGCAAGGGAGTTGCCCCCCACCACCTCAAGCAGTTGTGTCACTGCCTCATGCTAGAGCTGGCCCTGCATTCTCAGCCATGCATGTAAGGGACAGTCTTACCAGGAATTAGTATCAAAATATGCTAGGAGTTTAAGTTTCAATTGCTGTTTTCTCCCAAGAGGGTTGGTCCAGGCACTGAATAGCATTTGTGACTTATTGTGCTTGTCATTGTTCATGGTGACTGTGAGTCATACTGTTGAAAGATACAAAGACCTAAGATCAGATAATTCATAGAAGTGTTAATCCAGCCTCCTTTGTTTAGCTGGCCAAAAGGCCTCTGCCCCTTCTCTGGTCCCATCTTTCAGTGACTTAGCCCAGGAAGCACCTCCACACTGAAGCTGAAGGGCAGGGGAGGGAAGAGAGGCAGCCACTCCGAGCATAGGTGGGTACATTTTAAAACCTCTGTGCCCAAAATAGTTTATTTACTCATGACAGCTGCAGGAGCAACTTTTAATCGTTGCTGCGGTGTTTAGGTGCCTAATTAACATTTTGAGTGACTAAGGGTTCGATTCTATGCAAGTTTAGATCTTCTACAGCTTCCAGCATGCCCCTGGGAGTTGTAGGCTACATCTGTATAGGACTGCACCTTGAATGGTAATTTAACTACATAACGTGTGATTTTTATTATTTCGAATGCATTTTTTTCTCAGTAATGTGACTGGGAAGCACAATTGTGGTAAGGCAGTGTGAGAGATAGAGAAAATGCCTGAGATGATGCATTTATCACAGCAGGTGTCACCTAAACCGAATGAAAATGAGAGCTCCCCCCCAACACGAAATGTATGCAGACTAAACTGATAGACGGTAATTCATGTGATTAAATCAGCAAAGTCTTTTTTTGTCTAACATTCTTGGCTGAAGTCTAGTCTGTGTGCCCTTTCCGAATAACTCACATGCTTTTGCAGATACCGCAACATTTGCTTAGCTTCTATCGTATGGGTTTGTATTTCCTTTCAGAACCTGATCCCCTGCTGACCGTGCTCACCTCAGCCCACTGATTTCACTCCACAGGAACTGACTGTACGTTGCATTCAGAAAGTTGGCTATGCTATGCAAAAGACACAAGTATTCCTCGTCTATGCTCTCTTTTTGCTGGAATAGCAGATAATGCTCGCTCCCTCCTAACTCCTCTTTCCCGAACAGGTCCTTGACATTTCAGCCTCAGGGAACAAGATAGTGAGCAGGTTATCCTGCTGTCCTTATAACATCCTTACTCATATGGTAACGTTACGCTAAAGCAGTTGTTATGATGCTGTGTACAACTGTGCTGTCTTGTTGGGCTGACTGTCTAAAAACAAGAGAAAAACCAACCTCCTGACCCAAGGAAATTTGTATTTCGCACGTAAAACAAATTATGCCGTTCCCCATACTAATTAATTTGCATACTATTCTGGTACTATTTTAGGAAATGCAAAATTTAGATGAATTGGGCAAAGGTGGGATTGGCCAGCGGGAGGGGTCACGGAACACATGGCATGCGCAGCGAGGGCAGCAGCCAACTCTGCCTGGGTGGCGATCTGTATCTGCGCAGGAGCGGGGTGCCTTTCATCTCCTGCTCGGCGTGAACAGGGCCTGGCCGCTACTGAAGGTGGGAGCTGTCCCATGTGCTGAGGCCGAGCTCTCCTGCCCCTGGGACAAGAATGACTCCGCCCCAAGCGATGGCGAAGATGCGCCAGGGGCCCTTATAAAAGCAAGCACGCTCGCTCTTAACAGGTTTTTTGGGGGGAAGGGGGTGCTTCTGCTTGCGCTGCTTTCGGCCTGCCAGGAAGGAGGGAGGCGCTGGCATCCGTGCCGCTGTTTCTTTCCCGGCGGTGTTTCCAAGGCAATGAGAATTTCGGCGCAAAGGACGCGAGCCCCGCAAGCCAACGCAGCAGGCACCTGCCGCTAGGGGGCGCGCGGCTCGGAGCCGTCCTGCCTCGCTTGCTCGCCGTGGAAACGAGGATCTGCGTCGAGCCGCCTGCCCGTTGTCGAGGCGGGGGGCGCCGGCGCTGCAGCAGACCGGATGTTCTGTTTGGTTTTAACGGGCGGTGGGAGCGGTGCCCGGCCATGCTGAGCATTGCATGAGGGCGCGTGGATGGGCGGCGAGGCTGCTGCTGCAGCGTCCTCTTCCACGCTTCTACGCTGCTGCTCTGCCGGGAGGGCGTCCGATTTCCTCCAGGCGGTGCTGGGGCGCAAGAAAAGCCGACAAGCTGCGTCTTCGTGCAACACCGGCTCCCGCCCCTCCACCCCACCCCACCCCACCCCACCCCCGGCTTCCTCCAGATGTTCGCAGGAAGCCCGCCAGAACGCGCGCGGCGCTGGCCACGCTGTCGCTGCGAAGGAGCGGAGCCGGGCGGCTTGTCAGCAAGAGCCGAGCTCGTAGCCTCCAGGCGGCACCGCTTTACCGCGCGGCCTCAGCCCAGGAACAGCAGGGCCTGCTTACACAATGGGAGGGGTGGGCAGAGGGCAAAAGCGAGGCTGAAGCGCGTTCAGAGTAGGAAGTAGCCACGCCTGAGACGAAGAGCTCTGCATCCATCCCGCCCGCCCCTTTCTTTCCCTCCTCCTCCTCCTCCTCCGGATCCCTCCTTCCTTTCTTTTGCCCCCTCTTTCGTGAATCTGTTCTTTCTTTCCCCCCCCCCCCCCCCGTATCTTTTCTCTCTCCCTTCCTCCTTCCCTCCTGGATCGTTCCTTCCTTCCTTCCCCTCCCCCCAACCTTTCTTTCCCTCCCCCTTGGATCGTTTCCCCCCTCTTCCCTCCCTCCTGGGTCTATTCTCTTTCTCTGCTCCCCCTCCCCGTCCCTTCCGTTGCCCAACCCCACCCCTGCCCTGTCTGGAGACGGGACGTCCTGTGCCGCCCGCGTACGTGCCTCCGCAGGAGTCCGCCCGATCTTGTCCTGTTGGAAATCTCCGAAGAAGGGCATTTCTTCGCTGCCTTCACAAAGACAGCTTTTGTTTCATTGTTGAAATGCTCTTGTCCTCACGAAATTCTTAATCTTGCATCTAAATCTAGCTTCCTGTCGTTTAAAACTATTGTTTCTTTTTCTGGTCTTAGAGCTATACAAATCAGTTGCAATGGTATTTTCGGCCTCTTCGTCTTTTGATCGTGCCATTTCTATACCATGGGTTGGATCGAGATTTAGGCACAGACAGGTGGGTTGGCAGAGTTCGATTTTCCCATTTCCTCTTCCCTGCAACAGCCCCTCCACCGCCCAGAATTTCCACGCGGAGGGCTGAGGGATGCTGCCCAACGGTACAAGGACGCCTTTCCATCCATGGAAAACAGATTCTGGATTGTGTGTGTGTGTGTGTGTGTGTACATATACACACATATATGTAGCCATTTCACAATCCCTCCCCTCATGGAGAACCCCCACTAGAAGGAAAATGGAAGGTGAACTGAGGTTATAGGAGGAAAGAGGCTGGGTGGGTCATTTCAACACATCTCTAAATGGATGCTTAGCAACTTCGCTTTCTTCCAAGTGACAGCTCCGCCTCTCCAATCGGGAACAGTATGTGGGGTGGAAAGCTGTCTGCTTAATTCTGGAATCATTTACTCTGACTTCAGATCTGCCACCTGCGGCTGAAAGAAAAGATGAAGGGAAAAATGAGGACCCATTTGGTTTACCTACTACACTTGATGAAGGGGCCCTTCTGTTTTATACAGGGAGCACAAATAGCACGGTATCTTCATCCACAAATGTTTCCCACCAAATCAGTGCCCCTTTCATGAAGCATTGCCCTGTGGAAATTTTGACTTCCAATTGCAATATTTTAAAAACTGATATAAGGACTTGAAGAGCTGCAAGAGCTGCAAGAGGAGGAGCAGTAGGTCAGTGCTAGAAAACCAGCTTTGCATGCAGAAGGTCACAGGTTCAATCCTCAGCACCTGCTGGTAGGATTAGAAAAAATCTGGAGCCCTAGAGAGCCTTGCTGTGTTGAGCTCAACTGGGCTGGAAGGGCCAAAGCTAGGTTAGTCAAAGGGAGCTTCTTCCTCTGTTCTTGGGAGCACTGAGCTCTTGGTTTTCTTTGCCTTGTGTACCTTGTGCTAACTGTACAATATCCTGGAAGGCCTCTTCCTCACTGTAATGTTTCCAATGAAAATGGAAGGGTGTGCTTAATCCTTTCCTTGCTAGTTACCGTATTTTTCGCTCTATAAGACGCACCTGACCATAAGACGCACCTAGTTTTTAGAGGAGGGATCCATGGAAAGCTTCCTGATAATCACAGGCACTTTCCCCATCACTTCCCCATGGGCTTCATTAAAAGACGGGTTGCCATTTCAAAACACACACCGACCTGTGGTTAACAGCTCTCACCTGTGCCAGAGGAGGGGGACAGAGCAGGGCGCGCCGAGCGCGTGCCGGCCAGGTGTAGTGCAGCCAGGCCGGCAGTGTGCCGGCGGCAGGTCTTCCCGGGCGGTGGGCGTGAGCAGTCCGTCTCTCCGTGCGGCCGGCGGGTTAAAGCCTGTGGCTCCTCCTCCTCTGCACCTCTCCCCCTGAGCGGCACAGCTCTCACCTGCGCCAGAGGAGGGGGGCAGAGCAGCACGTGTCGAGCGCGTGCCGGCCAGGTGGTGCCACGTGGTGCAGGCGGGCCAGCAGCATCCCGGGCGTCGGGCACACACACATTTGCTCTATAAGACGCACAGACATTTCCCCTTACTTTTGAGGGGGAAAAAAGTGCATCTTATAGAGTGAAAAATATGGTAACTGCTTCCCTGAAGCTTCTTCCAGCCATTTTTTTTCCTGCTTGATGCCCACCTAGTATATACACATGTTTGGATTGTATCTAAGGCAAAAAGTCCTCCAGTGTGCAAGGAAGTAGATTAGAAGGCAGCAAATGGAACAGCCCTAGGAAATGGTGCCTGCCGACTGTGCCCCTGTACAGCTGGAACTTTTGGACAAAGCCATTGAATGCTTAGAGAGATCTTCACAAATGCTGGAGCAGGAAGGCAAAGAGCGATCCTGTCTGACAACATTTGAAAAGCACGTTCCCTGAAAGCAAGGCTTGTCCTGGGGGAGAACATCTCACCTGTCCAGCCGCAGAAGCTTGGCGTGTTCATTCATGGGCCCCAGTTCAGAGACGTTAGTCCTGCTCAGTCAGTGGGAGCTCAGCACTGATGTCCCATTGATGTGGACACGCCAAAGTTACTCCTGACGGAGCCCACTGATTTTCTGGTCTCCATCATTTCTGTTAACAGCTTACTGCTTCAAAAACCGATATCTTCCAAGTGAAGCACTTAACTAGGACGCCAACATTCTCTGAAGCTGGGGCATTTAAAGACTCCTCCATAGCAGTGGTCTGGATAAGCAACGTTTGCTCTTCCCTGGGCCTTTAGATTGAAAGGGGCTTTGGGGGGATCCCAATCCTATGAACTGTGTCCCACTACATTTTCTGCACTCTTATTGCTTGAGACTGTTGAGTGCAGTTTGTTATCTTGGGAACAGTTGCTATAGAAACAAGTGGAGGTGGGAGGATTTATTTTCCCACCAGCAGGAAAAGGGGGCATTTTAGGCTAAAATCCTTAGGATTCTTTCAACTGTAGAACTTTGGCAGAACCAGTAATTCTATTCTAGAGTGAAGACTTGACCCTAAACTCCAGCTTTCCACAATGTGGTGCCCTCCGGGTGTGTCTGACTACAACTGGGGATAGTGCTGCCTTGGGATGTTGGGGATTGTGGTTAGGATTGTAACCATTTGTGGGTAGGCTGTGTAGTCCAGCCTTAGAGACTTGCTGTGCTGAAGAGGCAGAGCCACGAGTGATGAATGTGGGTCTCCGCAGTTAGTGGCTGAGACGGTATTTCCCCCCTCTGTTGCTGTTCCCCAGACACTTATCCAGAAACTGTCCTCTCATGTGCACTGGCCTCAATG